TAGAGAATCTTGATATTTGTCCTAACTTACTCATAAGTAACCACACTTTGTGAAACTAAGCCACTAATAAGCTAATAAAACCACATAATTTTAAAAAGATTATCATTTTCTTGGTAGTATAAATATTAACTCCCTAGGTGGCTAGTAAGCTGAACAACCCCTCTTTCACCTTCTGGTTGGTGTCAGGGTTGACACCCATAAAGTTCAAAGTTCTCCGTATTCTGTATTCTGATTTTTATGTCAGGGATGTGAATGCAGGGTTCAAACTTGAATGCCGACAGCTCACCAAGAATTTAATCAAGAGAAAGCACCCCAAGGTAGAATACAACATGAGAAATTTTCTATTTTGATGGTTTCCTTTCAACTGCTTTTACAGGCTTACCCTTCGTATAAAATGTGTGCTCTAGTGTAGACAACCTGTTTAAGGTCTATGCCATGTATGAGTGCCATTTTAAGAAAAGGAAGGTAGAATTATGAAATAAATTAGCTAGTTGGAAAATAGTAATACAGAGTTCAAACTTTTCTAGGTAAAAAGCAGTTTTTACTATTTAGTAAAAAAGTAACATACTTAAATAAAAGCAAACAGGGTTACAGAATGAATATCTTTCCACATGTAAGCACCATTAAGAACGTCTTAATTTACTCAGAACTGTCAGATCTTTAATTGACTGAGGGCTGAGTCACGTTTTTTAAACTGGAAATTAAGGTCTGTGAGAAAGACAAAATATTTTAAAACAGCACAACAGTAAACTGAGTAATTAGATAACATACAAGTAAAAGAAAGTATTCTTACATAGAACATAAATCAAGAATGACAATGAAGTTTTCTGACTGCAACACTAGCTCTTAACTACTAAGTAAAAGATAAAACAAAATAACAACTACAAAAAGCCTCAACCCCCAGAGATACTGATTAACTAACTTTCATGGGGGGGGGGGGGCCCTAATTTTTAAAAACATTTCCAAGTTGTTTCTAGTGGGCAGCCAGCTGAGAACCACTGGGCTGCAACACCACAGCAGGTCATCAAAATAATGGAATTTCCCTTTCGGCAGGTCCTTAAAATGGACTCTATTCTCGTATTAGGCCTGTTTATCATTAGAGAACATCAAGACTTCTGTAGTCTGTTTACCATGCATTGTTTCCTTAACTTGATTCGTGCATGAAACTGTCACACTCTGCCCTGTGCCTCTGCGTGGTATGAAATGTTTAGGAACGAGCGGCCCACTGCTGAATCTGATGTCGCAGTTGAAACTCCCTCCTGATGGACCTCTCCAGAGCATAAAGCACGGGGCACTCCTGACTCTCAAAATTCTCCCTCACCACCCCTACTTTTGGCTTCTGAGGCACCGTTCCCTACGTTCTCCTCCCATTTCCAATACTTTTCTGCTCCGCAAATTGGAAGTTCTTCACTGAATCCCAGGACAGTTCCTGAAAAGCTCAACAATAGGTTCCAGAGGTGAGGAACCCCTGAAATTGTGCACACACAAATTTGGATGTGTACCTGAGGAGGCCATTTGTTTTTCATATTCTCGATGAATTTAAGAGCCCTTTTCTTCTATAAGCTTTCCAAGCTTCAACTGTTATCTCTGAGTTTATGACTCCTACATCAATCCTAACCTATCAGAGATCTGAATCCATTTTCTTCACTGGCTGTGCAGTATGTTCATTAACTTAAACCAACATATCCAAAATCAATTAATCCCCTCAGAAATACTTGTGGTGTCTTAATTCTTCATTTCAGTTGATGGAGCCACCCTCCAACACTCACTCAACACCTGAATCAGAAATTTCAGAATCAATCATCCTTCAGCTCTTCTCTTTCTCTTATACCCAGTTAACTTTTCACTTTGCTTCTTTTCTGCATCCGAAGCATCAACATTTTAAGCTTTCACATATCCTTATGACCACGGCCTTCTAATGGAACTTTGCTTGCAGTATCCACAATCTAGTCCATCCAACAAATAAGCTCTCTTCCTAACTGTGCCACACCCCTGCTTAAAGAAAAGTCTGGCTCTCTTGCACGGACACATGGCATCTAACTTGCTTGGCTTGGAATGCAGTGAGCTTCGAGCCTCCAATTTACCTTTTGTGACCTAATCTTCTTCCACTTCCAACACACCTTAACAATCTCAACTATTCACTATTTCTCCTCCAGCAGACCTTTTCTTAATTTTAAATTTGCCTAGGATGCCCTTTCCTCATTGCTTCACTAACAGACTCTTACTTGTGGTTAGACTCATTGAATCCACAACTGATACGAACCAAGCACTGTAGCTGAACACTGGGAATACAGCTCAGAACAACGGTCAGAGAAGGAAACTTCACGGCAGCTGTATTCCGGTGGAAGAATCTGACAATGAACAGATAAGCAACTAAAATAATTAAGAAAATGTGATCTATGTTGTGAAGGGAATAAGAGGACACAAGAGAAACTCTAGGAGGAATGATGCAGGCAGGCCTCTTAAGTTCCTCAGAGACGAAAAATTATTCTTAACGTGCGATCTTGTAGGATAAGAAGGAACCAGTCACGAAACACTAAGAGGAGCTCTCCGAGCAGAGGGTACCGCAGAGGTACCGTCTGCATGATAACCGTGTGCTATAGGCACCACACGCCTTGAAGAGAGCTGTTTAATATAAATGTGTAACCTTTAGAATTTGGCTTAGCTGGCACTTGGTCATCAACTCAACAAATAGTTGCTAAATTAGATGAATACTTCAAGAACAAGTGAAAAACCGAATTGTGGGGTTGGGGAGTAAGTAGGAAGGGCAGACATTTTTCACTGTAACAGGTAAGAAGCTTAGTAGCCCCAAACCACTCAAGTTCTCTAACAGCATCTATTATGTCCTTTATTTAACTTACTGGTATGTTCTGCTTAGTGTTCACACACCTAACAAGTTATTATTGGTTTCAGTTTAGACCCCCAAATCCTGAAGGGCAACTGTGTTTCAGGAGCTTTTACAAATACAGAAGTATGTTTCTGATGTAAAGAAAGAGTCATTTTAATTAAAACACCCATACAGATCCTTAACGTTTTTGATGTATATATTCCCTTTCCTTTCTCCTAAGGGTTACGTTCTCCACTTTAACCCCAGGAGTCCTATGAGCCCTAAACCATCCATACCCAAAGTTCATTCCATGGTAGCTGGTCACAGACCAGCCAACAGGTCAGCTGCTTCCAGCCTACCAGTCGCGCAATTAAATGAATATGATAATAGAGCCGTCATTCCACTCTTTACAAAGTAAGAGTGAGGAAGTAACACAAGACGAATTAAGAATGTAGCTTCAGACATTTGAAACTCTTCCAATTTAATCGGCCCCAAACAAAAAGCCTAGAAAGAGTAAATTAAAAGGCACACATTCTTAATAGACACACATTCTTAATAGACACACAAATTAAACAATTATCCAAGTGGTACTGTACTATGCACTGAAGGAGAATTTTCAAGATCACTGGCCAGCCAAAGGTTTTCTCAGCTTTACTAACCTAAGGATTCACACTAGCAGTATGCTGCTGAGATGATAAAAGAGTTATTCGCATGGCTGTTCGTCAGTCATAAACTGTTCAGCTGTGTCACATACCTTAACTGCCACCATCACCAAAAAAGGAGGAAAGAACTGGGTTAAGAAATCTAGTGTACCTTTGAGATTAGCATACCAACGTTGTGCTGAGGCAGGTCTCATGAACTGGTGACTATGCCTTCAAGAAGGCTGTACCATCCACATCTACCCTAACCTGCCCCCAGCAGAGATTCTGGGATATATATGGTCAAGCCGTGCAATTAAAGGATGCTCATCACAACTTCACCGGGTTACACATGCATACGAATAACTGGAGACAGCCAAGAAGCTCACTGTAGCCATCAGCTGGTAAGGAAAAGAAAAGGCTCTGTACCTTGAAAGAGGCTCTGCAGCAATTTACAAGGACTGGGGTGGTTCTTATTCCACAGAAGGTTCAGGTTTACCACAAATGTTAGCTGAGGTTCAAACAACGATGGTTCTATAAATGGTGACCGTAGTCAAAAACTGAATTCCCATCTTCGTATTTGTGCTTTTAGACTACACATTAGCTTTATTATCTTTATATCTCAAGGTCAGCAACACCTGTCCCTGAAAAAGTGTGGTGGAAAGAACACTAGGGAACATTTAACCATGTGTCAGTGAGACCTTTATTTCAAAACGGGCTTTTATTCTGGACAATATTAACACCTTGGAGACCTGTTTTCGTAAAAATCTCCCACTATAGTCCTTAGAATATCTAAAAGGGTATATGGAGGTGTGTATGTATAAACTATATATCTATATCTCTATAGATATATCTATGGATATATATCTATGGATATAGATATCTACAGAGATATATATAGATACATATGGATATAGATATCAGTGAAATAGCCATGATCATTTCTTTGCTTATCTCAATATTTTTCAGATCCAGAATCCATGATGGCTATAGGAATAATGTTAACAATATTATATCAATACTATATCAATCTAGTCAACGAAATGACTACTCAACTAAATCAAGAACATCAACTAAACTTCCCTCTCTTTAAACAGGAAAACAAAAGCCACATCTCTACATACAAGCATATACGCCAATCTTCTTAGGGGAGAAATAGTATAAAAACCAACTTAAACAAAACAGCACAAGATGGAAGGGTTATAAAACTCGACCCCTGTACGTTTAAAGCAAAACATATTTTTAATAGCACGTTTCATATAACTTCTGAAATATACCTTTTATGAAAACATTATTTCAACTAAAAACCAAGACCTGGATGTCAGCCAAAACAGAAAAGAACAGTTTGCAATTCACTGTATTTAAGCAGAAACATTTATTTTCTAGTCAGCAGTTTCAAATGTCCTTCTAACTAAACTAAAACATTTGTACTTCACTTTAAAAAGTTAACCATTTTAATAACAGCCTAAACAAAACTACAATTATCAAGCTATTCCCCTGATTAGGTAAGCCTCGGTATCTGGTGTTAGCCTTACCATAAACAAATAATTTTCCAGTTCTATGCGGTCATCCTTGAGTCACTTGAATTACTGGAGCAGAGCAGCAGTCTCAGCTACTTCTAAAATTACAAGAAAGCTACAATGTAGGACATTTATAGTGATAACAGAAAACACAAGTTAAATGGCCTGACAAAGACACCAACAAGTTTCAACTTTATCACCATTTAAGGTTATACAAGCAAAAATAGTATCCTCTAAAGAAAGAGGAATTCTGCTAAATAAAACCATCAGGGTCTATTGCTTTTATTCAGAAGCACCATACAGCAAAACAAGTGGTCAAGTCCACAGGGTAATAGCATTTCAATAGCTGCAACGTGGTGCCAGATCAGTCTTTGTTGGCCTTCCTTTCCCAAGAAACAGAGATGTCTCTTTTTACTTAGTCCATCTGCCGTAAGTGCTAACCAGATGCCTGTGTGATAATTCAAAATTAAAACAAAAGTGCTTCCCTCCCCCCAGAACCTAACAGCAGGGATGAGTCTAAGTTGGTAATCACACATCAAGAATTCCAGTGCTTTAACAGAAAGCCTCCATATGAAGGACACAAACTATATAGCTGGTTCACCTTTAATGTGCTGCCTAGTACCACTGCTGTCAGCATCAGGGAATATTTTTTCACCTAATTATGCTGAGCATTGTTCCAAATGCTTTTCACTTAATTCTCACAGCAATCCTACAGGGTCGTACTAGGATTAGTCCCATACTGTAGTTGAAACAACTGGGGAATCAAGGCAGTGAAATACATTACTCAGGCCATATCATCAAAAAGCAGCACGGCCACTGTATTGAACACAGACAGCCTGTATCCTGATTCCATACTGTTAAGTGCTATATTAAGACTAATCCTAAGAAAACAGTATAATTGGTTTTGACTAAAATTGTTCTGCCTCACGATGAAAATACCTGTAATTTATCAACAAAAGAAGGCTCGCACCTGATTCTTTGGAACTATTTAATTAACAAAAACAAATTTTTACTTCTTTTAAAATTTTATGCGTTCTCATCGAGGGAGTTAAAAACCAAAAACGGGCGCCTGGGTGCCTCAGCCAGTTAAGCATCCAACTTCGGCTCAGGTCATGATCTCACAGTCTGTGGGTTCAAGTCATGCATCAGGCTCTGTGCTGACAGCTCAGAGCCTGGAGCCTGCTTCCGATTCTGTTTCTCCCTCTCTCTCTTTCTGCCCCTTCCCTGCTCAAGCTCTGCTCTCTCCCGCTCGCTCAAAAATAAACAGACATAAAACAAAACAAAACAAAAAAAACATACCACGGACAAATGTTTATAAGCAGATCTCTATGGTGCTAAATACAATTAAAACAGTAAGAGTCCTCATCCACACATGTCCTGACAAAAGCGTCCTCAGTACACAATCTGATTTTCAGTACTCTTGCTTGATGAATGAATACTGCATGCTTGAAGTTGCCAGCCAAACTTTTGTGCTGTGTTGTCTTTTTTTTTTTCGTGAAATTTTAAACAGTTTCATTATTGATTCCTGCACGAAGGCCCATCCGAACTGTCCCAGAACTCACTTCAGTGTGTTTAACATTTAATGGGATCCCTAGCAGCAGGTGTCCCATACAAAACAAGCCATCGAAGCCAAATTTTGAGTTTTATCACCAATCACAAGATAAGACCAGATGAATATAACTTCTGATACAAACTGATTCTTTTTCACTAATGACCTATTTCTAGAATCTTGGTTTTTCCACAACTACACAGACACACACACTCCGTATCTTTCTTCTTAATAAAAGGTTGTATCACAAAAGTCAAATTTGTATACGTAGCCTGGCAAGCCCTCAAACACGCATATACTCTTTCACCCTCTCGAAATTTCCCAAGGTGGTATTCATGCGAGCAAATACTGGAGCTACTCAAGGCAGTAAATCATTATTTTTACTGTTTGAACTGGTTTAAAAAAAAAAAAAATCCCCAATCATATTAGAGAAGTTTTTGCTTATAATTTGCAGCCAGTAAAACAAAAAAACAAAAAAAAAACAAAATAACTGAAATTGTAGGCATCAAGAATTAGATTACTAATTAGATTAGATAATTAAAGGTGCCCCTCATCTACCAGATTACCCTCCGAAGTCAAAGAAAATAAATATACCCTTTTATTAACATGTTAATCTTCAAAATATGTACACACACCTGCATGACATTAGCATACAATAGGATGGCAACTCATAGTCCTGATCCTCCAGAAAGTCCTAATTTTATCAGGCATGATGAAATCTGTACATCAATAGCACCGGGCAGTGTGTAACAAGGGATTTAAAATACAAACTTGTGTGTCGTGTTTCGGTATTCATGGTATGTCCATTTCTCTGCTATCTACAAGTGCACAAAAAGCACCTGAAGAGAAACACCTTTCATCCAGCTTTACATACTCGATGTGGCATTAGGCATATAAAAGGTGTAACAAATCTGAGTGTATGTTTCAGGAAATCCTTATTTTTTAATTCAAATGTCACAACACAGCTAAATTTTCAAAGCACTACAGGTCTTCAGTTAAACACATGGGGGAAACATTCTACTATGAATTCTTTTAAAATCAATTTAAATTTTACTTTTCAAAGCAATAATAATTTCATCACATGGTCAATGATGCAACGGAAGGAAATCAATCACCAGATTCTTACCGGCTCCTTCGCCTAAAAACAATGCTGACACCCATTCAACTAGATTATACAATATTTATTGTAAGTGATGTGCCACATCCATGATAAGAAATAACATTCTCCAATAACATTCGGTTGCATATTTCATATGTATTTGCTCTACTTTAGAGCAAATTCTGCACATTCTATACACGTATATAATAGGTCCCCTCATTTGTAGAGTATATGTTCCAAGACCCCTAGTGGATGCCTGAAACTGCAGGTAATACCAAACCCTATATACACTATGTTTTTCTCTGTACATACATACCTATGTTAAAGCATAATTTCTAAATAAGGCACAGTAAGAGATTAACAATAGTAATAAAACAGAACAATTATAACAATGTACTATAAGAAAAGTTATGTGAATGTGGTCTTTCTCAAAATATCTTATTGTACTATACTCCCCCTTCTTTTTGTGATGTGAGATGATAAAATGCATATATGTTGAGATGAAATGAGGTGAATGACGTAGGCCCTATGACCTAATAACCTAATATTAAGCTACTACTGACATTCCGACCATACATCAGAAGGAAGGTTGTCTGCTTCCAGCCCCTGGCTGACCAGGGGGAACTGAACCCACAGGAAGTAAAACCACAGATAAAGAGGGGACTACTGTATATCCACAAAAGTTTTGATATAAAAATTATCCACATAAAGAAAAATTTGTGGGAATCACTTAAATTGTTCCCTCAAACTTGGCAAAATGTAATTTCAGTTAAATATTCAGATGCAAAATGATCAGAAAAGACTGATACTAAGAAGGTTTTCAGAATAAAAATTATGAAAATCTGAGGTTCAATTAAAAACACAGTGAGCTCTACAATACTTTTAACCTTTAAAAAAGTGACTGTGTCTATAATTATAGTACTACCACTTGAACTTGTAAAGCACCTTTTAATTCTGAAAAGTGACAATATTTTTTACATGCTTTATTTCAATACAGTCCCAGCATGAGGCTCTTAACCTGCTGTTCTGCACAAACAGAATGAATACATAACATCTGACATGACCACTTCAATTCTACAAATAAAGGGGAGGGATACAGAAGAAGGAAAATACAACAAAGTTAACATTAATGAAAAGGATATATAGCCCAAGGATGTATACCGAAAACTCCGTAAGAAACAAACAATACAAATAGCCCAAAAAATCATTTGGACTGTTACATGATTAAATAAGGATAGGAACTAAAACAACACCAAACACTGGGAATGTTACAGTAGAGAGCAGGGAACACAGAAATTGGATTGCTACTAAAGGTGGAAGCTAGGGCCTGACCCCCACTCAAACACGGAACAGACAGGGAACCACAAACAGGTCTAGGTGAAGTATGTGATGGCAACCCTGTGATTGAGGGAATTCACTTAAGTCTCATGTGCACTATGGAAATCTTGGGACTCAACATCCAACAGCTTCAAGTGTGGTCCTCCCCCAGGATATCCTTCATAGAAGAAGAGCTTTATGAAAAGATTAAACAATCCTTGATTCATTAACCTAAAGGTGACAATCTTGGGTTTTTCCTCTTAGAATCTTAAGCAACTCTAAATCTCCCAATGTTTATACTTTCCATTAAAGATAACTGCCCACCTCTTTGCACATCCATGAAAGTCCTTTAACAAGAGATACTGAACCCCAACTCCATGAAAATGCCTGTGTTAAAAACGCTATTCTGGCTATAGTGAACCAATCAAGAGCACTTATTAGGAGACCATTAGTTTCTGATCTTGAAGGCAAAGAGTATGAAAAGAGGGGGCTGAGAATAAGGATGACACATTTTGCTTAAGACAAGCCAGCTTAGCCAAAAAAAAAAAAACAAAAAAAAAAAAAAAAAAAAAAAAAAAAAAAAAAAAAACAAAAAAAAAACTTGAGACAAACAGAAGCTGTGGTTGACATAATTGCTTCTGTGATTTATCAGTTTTATTTTCATTGTTGTCCTCAACTTTATATAGACAGCTTTATTCTCACTGGACATGAAGATGATATTCTCTTGAATATGTGGCCATTTCAGTATGCCATAGGGAAACCTCATTTACTGACCTGGAATGATTTGGGAAAGTATAAAACCACTAAATAGTGATGTAAAGCACAGATCATATAAGCTGACAAATATTTACCTGGAGGTATCAAACTGCAAATAATTCTTTAAACCAGATAGCGATAAAAGTCCCTTCTCCATTTGAATGGCCTGCCATTTTCTCAAACTTTAAAAGAGACAGCAGATTACGCTCCGACTGCTAAATCTTTTCCTTGTATTTCTATTTTTCAATTTTCTCAGGGATTCTGTAATTGGTTCTTCACACAAAAATCAAACCAGGCTTGTTTCTCTCTTTTTTACCTTCAGCCAATTTTAAGGCACTGTTCTTAACCCTAAATACAGAAGCCCACGCTGGTTAACTGCCAGTGTCGCTTTGCAACTGCAGGTGACAGACGCAGCCAGAGAGCTCACAGATGTGAACTGGCTGGCTGCAGTCTGAGTCTTATTGCAATGAGCACACTGACAGAGCCCGCAGATGCACACCGCGGCTGAAGGAGTCTTAAAAACCGTCATTCTCAATTAAATTACTTTTAGGGCTCTTACGGGCTATCATTAAGCGCTTATCCCAATTCTGATCCTCGCTTAGCTCTGCCCACAATTCATTTTATCTTCCTCAGTTCCGGACCCTTCATCAAACCTAATTTGGGTAATAATAATAATAATAATAATAATAATAATAAAGCGGGGCTGTTGGCATCGCCGGCACCAGTAACCGGGGAAGATGCTATTTGGTAGCATTCCCGCCGCGGCAGAGGCCGCAGGAAGTTTTCTGGGAACCAATGGACCCCTAGCATCTTTGCACGATTCTTCTTCTCCAGGGTGAGGGCTTCACAGAAACGGATGGGGAATCTCCCTTCTGTCTTTCCCAGGGGTGGCTAACAGGAAAAATAAAACACCTCTTTTCTTCTGCTACACCCCGCTCGGTTAAGCTCGCAGGCAGGGACGCCCCGCCCCCCACGCCGTTATCCCTGATGAGCTCCCCAAATATCACCCGGTCCTCCTAAGAAGTAGACCCTCCCTCGGCCCCCGGACCAATTCCTCCCACCTTAGTTCCTCTCCTCGGGTCGTCCGCCCCCGCACACCCCACCAACCGTACGGCCCGGCTCGCACACGCCAGCCCCGGCGCCCAGATGCCCGGCACCCGGCGCTCAGGCCGCCCGGTCGCCCGCGCTCCCCCCGCCCAGGGTCGCCTACGGGGTTACCGTGGGAAGAGGGGGCGGCGGCAGAGAACGCGGCGGCAGCGCTGCTGCCGGTTACGTCGGACGCGGAGGATAAGCTGGAGGACAAGGATGATGATGAGGCGGGCGCGCTCCCCAGTCTCCATGGAACTCCCGCCCCGACCCGTTGCTAGGAGCCCCCGAGGCTCGAGCTCCGTCTTTCGTGCTTTGTTGTTCCGGGTACTGGGCGGCCGCTTCTTCCCCGCGACAATAAATAGACCAGACGCAGGGGGAACATAGAGACAGTGCGCGGGGGCTAGAGCGCCGCCGGACAGGGCGCCCCTGGGCTCCTCGCTAGCCACTCATTTCCGGCTCTCACTGCTCCCGTCACTTTCCCCCGCCCCTTTCCCCACTTTCCCTTCCTCCTTCCTGGTCCCCCAAGGTAGGCCCCTCCCGCTCTTGGACTTGGCGACGTCCGGGTGTTGGGGGCAGGGACTGCTACTGGGCTAGACTTCTTTTGCTGGAGGACCGCCTAAAAAGGTTTTGAAAAAATTGCGTGATCTTTGTACCTTTCTAGCTCATCTCTAAACATGGGTTCGTTGTTCCTGGCATACAGTATAGTATAAATGGACTTTAATTTTTTTGTCAAAACCTTAGAACTTTCTCGTTAGCTCGTTCAACTTCAAGGGCCACCATTTAACGCAATTAGCAAAACTAGTTCTCAACAACTAAATTTATTTTCTAAGACATTTTCTGTCTGAAAAAGTCCTATTTTCGCTTTTTCAGTTAAACGCGTTAATTTACGACGTCATGATAAACCTCTCATTAAGGAATTCTAATTCTAGTCCTAAAATACAGCGGCAGGAGATGATAGCGGAAGGATGGATGGACAGATCGATAGAAGGGTGGGTGGATGGGTGGGTGGATGGATGGATGGATGGATAGATAGATAGACAGAGGCAGGGAGCTTAGGTCACACTTCTGTCGCCTCTCCCTTCCCTATTCCTTACTCAACTTGGGTTTGCGGTCAGGACTCCGCATGGGAGCCCGAGCACTTCAGAGGCTTATACGCGGCGCAGTCAGATCCTGGAAGGATGGACCGGGGCGAGGGCGGCTGCAGGCTAGGGCTGGGGAGCCCAGCAGGAGAAACGGTGGCTCAGGCCGACGGGCGTAGGAGGGCGGTCACTCGAAAGCTGGGCGCCTGGGGACTGAGACTCTTTCACGGCTCTGCGCCCAAGTAGCCCTGGAATCCGGGGACCCCGAGAGGCGCACACTCGCCAGTTTGAACGGCCGCGCTGGGGTCCGATGAGCTCTCGGGGGTGGCCTGAGAGGCGCTGCCCGCGGGAGCGAGACTCGGGTAACGGCCTGGGGAGCGCCAGGCAGCGCAGAACCCCGCGGCGCCCCCGGAGTCCCACTCTTCAGGCTGGCATGGGCCTCTGCTCCCGAGCTCAGCTGCAGCCAGAAGCCTCTGGCCACAGAAGAGGACGACGGGCAGCTCTGATTTAATAAAAGGCCACAAGGCGGGATCATGGGTATCTGGTCTCTGATTGGTGTGAATCGTGGATGAAAAATGATAATGCCACTATCCGTTTGAAAATGAAGGCAAGGGCTGACTTCAGGGCATTTGGGAGTATGCAACCATTTGGGTATTTTATTATCTATTGGGTCTCTAAGGATGGCTCTTGATCTTTTGCTTCCTACTCTAAGTATTCAAAAAATATCTGAGCATTTAAAAAGCTCTGTAGATGAATGGAATTTCCATTTTGCTGCAATATTTGTACTAACTTATTTTCGAATAATATTAAATAATTGTAGCTTGGTTAGGTATAAGTGGAGAAAATAAACGAGGCTTGACTGGAAAGTAATGTCTGTGTCATACTGGGGTGATGACTCTTAGGAGGTAACATTTCAGCTGTTAACTGAAAGCTATGGGAGTGGAAGGGATGTTCAGAGAGTGTTCCGGACAGAGGGAACAAGATATGCTAAGAGTTTGCTATGCCGAAGCATTAGCGTGGATGGAGCGTCCTGATCTAATCAAGGGAAAGAGTGACATCAGATGAAATTGGAGACAAAGTCAGGCCTTAAACCTTCAGTGCCTTGTAGACACAGAAGGGAGTTTGGATTTTCTTCCAAGTGCTAGAGGAAGTGATGGGTTTTAAGCTGTAGTGTAACATGGTCTGATTTGCCAAGGAAATGGCAACGGAAAGGCTTTAATCCCCTGATTAGTGCCAAGGCTGAAAAGTCAATTTCACATCAATGGTGACCAATTTTAAGGTCTTCATGAGGCAGCTTTCTTTCAGGGGACCAGCAAGATACCTGGTATGAAGCCAGTCAATTACTTCAGACTCCCTTTTGTCATAGATTAGTCGACAGTTTGTCTCACTACAAGTGCCTTATCCGGGAAATGGATGTATGTTGCTGCAAGCAAGTCCCATTCTCCATAGACCTATCACATTAGCCCATACACCCTTCCTCTGACCAAGGAATTCACTTCACCACAGAAGACGTAAAACAATGAGATAGAGTCAGTGGGCTTCATTGGTCTTAGAATGTGCTCCATTATTTAGGTGCCAGGTAAGATTATAATATTACTCATTATTCAGGTGGTAGGTAAGGTTAGAATATACAGTATATGTTCTGAACCAAGACTCTCCATTAATACAGAAATTGATACCTAGGCTGGGAACCTAGTGAGATTTATCTGGTAGATAAGTGCTCCTTAAAATGTGATGTATGGACCAAAGCCAGTCTGTAAACTGTACTGATCAGCAATGAAATAGGTATAGAAATTGAGAGGAGCATTTTGAAACTTTTAGTAATTTGACATTAATGTGGCCCCTAAGCATGCAGTTTTCTATTTATGAAAGCATTTGTCTGTGTTGAGTTGATAACTAAAAACAAACAAGCAAGAAGTGATCCTTCACGACAGATATCTGTGTCCACTAAGGCTTCTAGCTTTATGAAAACTCGTTTTTGTTTTTTTTTTTAATCAAGCTATTGGAATATATTGGCTACTTCTTACTCCCTTGGTGCTCTGAGAGAGACAGACTGGTTCAGCAGGGCCACTCAGAAGGAGATGGGCAATAATAAAGTGGTACTTATATAGCTGGTAAGAGGAGTCCTTTCTGCCAGTGGGTTAGTTATCTTGCGTTGATAGTGATCAGATAATATCTACTCTGCCAATTGAAACAGTTAGATTTTCTGACCCCCCCCCCCCCTTCCGCTTCATCCCTCATAAGGTTAAAACACTAAACAGGATTGCAGAGACCCAGCAGGACAATGGAGTCAGGGATGTCTCATTCCTCGGGGCTCTTCTCAAATATCTTCTGCTGTGCCCCCTTACCAACTGAAAGATAATTTCTCCCATTGTGCCAGTTGAGTGAGGTACAACTTAGGGGACAGTCTGAAGCTGTAACCTGGCTTTACAATCCCAGCCTGCTTCCCTCCCTGCCCTCAGATAAAGTCTGTGGCAAAGACAGTGAACTAAGATCTAGGGTGATTGACAGAGTAGAGTTGCCAGGCCAGTTTCCAAGAGATGGAAACAAGAAGGGCAAAGTCCCTATTTAAAGCTTGCGCGGTCTAAATGAGATTTCTGATAACAAGCTAATGGATTTCCCCTAAATGACATTGACTGACAGCCAAATAAATTTTAAGGGATTGCCAGAAAGCCTTTAGCCTTGCAAAAGGCCTCTACTGCTGTGCTGTCTCAAAGACAACATCCCAGTCCTGGGATCTGCAGAAAGATGAATTCAGTTGCCAGGGAAGTCTCAGGAAATTCCTTTTCACTACTTCTCTAAAGGACAGCCTTTGAGGATAATAGATAAAGGAAATCTTGGCACTTTGAGTGACTGACAAGAGATCTCAGTTTTCTCCTGGAGAAGAGAAGTCCTTCTTACGCTTATTCTACATTATACGGTATATGCTCAACCATGGCACAGTGAGTCTCCTTTTTGCCCTTTCTTATTAGGTTTTGTTATCCTGTTCCCCACCCCCCTCTATTATATATTTGTGCATTGGGGAAAAAATCCATTATCATTATCATTTAGCTAGATCTGGACCTTATCAAGATTGGCTACACTCAAAGATCCTGAATTTGGGCTGCAGGTGACATTGAGTTTTCCTCTAGCATTGGGTAGGGATTGAGTACATTGTCAATTGCATAAGGGATAGTTGCTTTATGTTAAGAGAAACTACAGCTATGTGAAAACCAGTGTGTGTGTGTGTGTGTGTGTGTGTGTGCGTGCATGCACTGAACAGCCAAAGGGTAACATGTAGGGAACAGTTATTGGTTTGTCAGCCAAGAACACCTCTCTTCTTTTGGGAAAAGTACTTACACCTCTTATTTGGAGAACTATGTTTGCTCTTTACCTACCTCCAATCTAATGTGGATCCAAGTGGGAGTTGCAATTGCTAGTGGTTTCTTCTAGATGTACAGGGACTCGGAAAGGAATAAGATTGGAAGATTGGTGACAAGGTAGTGTGGGGAAGAGGTATATAGATAAGTTTCTTTTCATGAGCACACACTGTGAAGATCCGTGTGTACCATTTGGATACACGCTACAGGTACCCATTGCAGAGGAGACTTTAATAATCAGGTGGGTGAAATGGCACTGTCTCTGGATGTCAGGCAGCCTCTTTGCTTAGCCACCCAGGGCTTGCTCAGTGGGCCCTTGAACAAAGTGGCCATGGTGGTGGGGATGCAGGCTATGTATACACTCAACAATCTGAATGTCTCCTTACCGAGGCTCCCCTTGCTGACACTGCTGTCAAGAGAGAGAGCAGAAAACAACACCGAGTCCTTGATCCGGCCCCCTTTCCCTGGGCTACTAAAAACAGCTGTCTGATGGCAGATTGATCATACGGGACCTCTTCCACCTTTGAGGGGGCAAAGATTCATCCTTATTGGAGTACTCCTGTACCCTGAAAATGGATAGTCTTTGCTGCTCATAATGTTTCTGCCAGCACCTAGTGTTTGTGATTCACAAAATGGTGTGCCATCTACCAGCAGTGCATTCCACACGGCACCGCATCCTATCGGGGAACTCATTTCACGGCAAAGGAAGTGCAGCCATGTGTCCATGCATAGGAAATTAACGGGCCTTACCACATACCCCGTCGCTTGAAAGCAGCCGGCTGAACTGAACAGTGAAATGACTTACTGAAGCCTCAGCCATAGCCCAGCTGAGAGGCAACACCCTGGAAAGAAATGAAAGCCTGTCTTACAGGATATGTTTTGCATCAGAGATCATCACATGGTACCCTCGCTTCCATAGCCATAATACATCGGAATCAAGGTATGGGAGTGGGAGCGGCTCTTCTCACAACCTCACCTTATAATCCCCTCAGAAATTTTCCCTCC